TGTGGAATGCTATTAAATAGATTTCTTAACTGTTATTAATTTTTCAGAATGTTCACATTTTTAACACTTTTTGGTTTCCTGCTTGGGCGTTTGTGGAACATCCTTCAAATGTGATTGGCTGCTTGGATAGCTTGATGACATCAGTTGAGTTTCACACTAAGTGTTTTCCAGTTAAAACTGCTATGGTTGGTTGTGGTATCGCTGCTAGGTGAATCACTGAGTGGATGTTGTATCTTGGAAGACAGGTTCTTGGGTTGGATACGCTGTTGCCTTGCTTTGGACTGCAAGTTGAGCTGACTCCTACTAGAGTGTCATTTCTTTTTGTTGTTGGTAAGTCTTCTATTGAGTAATGTAAATGCAGGAAACCAACTTGGCTCCCAACTCCTGGTACATAAAGTAAAATATTTTGTACTGTCTGTTTGTTCTTGTTTTTGGCTAATGGGTATTGGTTTCCTATTAATATTTCTGTATTTTATGTGCAGGAATAGCCAGTAATTGCTGGTTTAACAGCAATTAGTCAGCATATTTATTGGCCTGGGAATGTACTATCATGACCCAGCAGGTTATGCAAGATAATGGGTGAAGAGTGTTAATCACCCTCACAATGTCTTGTCTCAAAGTGGACGTTATAGGAAACACTTGCTGCAAGAATTTTGGCAAGGATTAGTGTTCAACAACATAACATGCCTTTGCTTCATTTGGAAGGGAATAGCATTGTTCTATATAATTAGTCATACAGCATGGAAATAGACCCTTTGGTCCAGCAAGTCCATGCTGACCATATTCCAAAGCTAAATTAGTCCCACTTGTTTGCATTTGGCCCATATCTTTCAAAACCTTTCCTATTGATGTACTTATCCAAATGTCTTTTCAACATTGTAACTGTACCTGCATCCACCACTTCCTCTGGCAGTTCATTCCGCATGTGATAAAGCAAAGTTGCCCCTCACGTCCTTTTTACACCTTCGCCCTCTTGCCCTAAAAGTATGTTCCCTAGTTTTGAAATCCCTCAATCTAGGGAAAAGACCCTTGTCTTTCACCTTATCTATGCCCATCATGATTTTATCCTCAGTAATGTCACCGCTCAACCTCCTATGCTCTAATGAAAAAGGTTCCAGTGTTTCCAGTCTATTTTTATATCTCCAACCCTCCATTCCCAGTGACATCCTGGTAAGCCTTTTTTAAATCATCCAGCTTAGTGATATCCTTGCTAGACCAAAACTGCGCACAGTAGTGCAGAAGAGGCCTCACTAACGTCCTGTACAACATCAACATGACATCCAAATTTCTATACTCCGTGGTCTGAGCAATGAAGGCAAGCTGGCTAAATGCATTCTCAACTATCCTGTCTACCTGTGCTGCAAATTTCAAAGAATTATGTGCTTGAACCCTTAGGTCTTTCTGTTCTACAACACTACTCAGGTGCCTTCTGTAAATTGTATAAATCTTGCCCTTGTTGCTTTACCAAAATGTAATACCTCACGTTTATCCAAATTAAAGTCCATCTGCTACTCAGTGCATTGACCCAATTGTTCAAGATCTATCGTAATCTTGGCTAACCTTCTTCACTGTCCAAGATACCACCAATTTTAGTGTCATCCACAAACTTACTAACCATGCCTCCTGTATTCGCATCCAAATTTTATGTAAATAACAAAGCAGTGGACCCAGCACCAGTCCTTGTGGCACACTGCTGGTCACAGGCTTCCAGTCTGGAAAAACAACCCTCCACCAATTAGCAAGCTCACTTTGAATCCCATGTGATCTCACTTTATTAGTCTACCATGCGGAACCTTGTCAAAAGCTTTACTGATGTCCATGTAAACAAAGTCTAATGCTCTGCTCTCATCAACCTTTCATCTAAAACGCAAATCAAGTTTGTGAGACACTCTTTCCCTTTCTCAAAACCACGCTGATTATCCCTAATCATTCCTTGCCCCTCCAAATCCATGTAAATCCATCTTTCAGAATCACTGACAACAACTTACCCACCACCAACATCGGGCTCACAGGTCTATAGTTTCCAGACTTCTTGCAGCCTTTCTTAATGTTAAGCACCCTCCAGTACCTCACCTATGGTTAGAGATGATAGCTATTCTTAAGGAAATCTTTTTGATTTGGCTCAAAAATCCATCTGATATTAGAGTGTAGTTGTAAGGAAAATGCATATCACAGATATAGTTAATGTAAATTGGTTTTCTTAAGGAACAATTTACTTATAAAGTACCCTGTTAAATTATATTTTATTCAATTGAATAAACCAATTGTACAATGCATGCATATCTCTAGTAAAATCCAGCTGTGCAAGTTGAAACTTTGAATTAATTATGTTGAACTTGTTTCTGCAAAAGTTAATTCTCCACTGGATCTCTTGAAAGATTAATCATCTGTTTGACTTTTGCTGCTTTCTTGGATTATATTTTACAGGGCTTGTCCTTTTTGCTATTAAATTATCTGTAATTCATTGAAAGGTGAAATGGTATGAATTTTGCAAAATGTGCCGGTTTGCAGTGCTTGAATATGGGCTTGATAACATTGTGAGCTGGCAATAAATGCTTGTTTTCACCAAGTTTTAGCTCTTCGTGCTAATGCAATAAGTACTTAAATGGGATATGAGAATGAAGATAAAACCTTGTGACCTCCCAGGTTTGCTGTTGTGTACAGTCAGCTTGGGGGATAGTATCCTCCTTTAAAATATAAGATTCCTCCTGGCCAGTGCTCGTGAGAGATAAAAGGTCTATTCTTGGCAATAGTAATGGTTCAGCATATCTTACATTTTGGGTTGAAATGTTATCTGTACTTGAGGTTCTAACTCCTGTCATTGATAATATGAATATTACTTAACTTGAGCAGTTAAAGTTTGCCCTCGCAGAGTCCTTTTTTTAAAATTCCCATCATTTGTATCCAAATACAGCATCAAACTCAGTGAATCAGTTTTTTTAGAACAACAGTTTGGCTGCAACAGCTGTTGAGCTTCTAGCTGTAATGATGTAGCATCATCTCTCCTTTTTGTGATATCTTGTTCCTTGGTTCTGTTTTTTCATTAGCATCTTTGTCACATTCACATATAAAATAAATGGTTGAGGTCACTGAGTTAGTAGTCCAGATAATGCTTGGGGCCTGTGTTTAAATCCCAGCACTACAGCTGATCAAACTAAAATTCAATTTAATAAATGATGATAACCACAATAATTATGATAAATTGAAGTCAGAACCCATCTGATTCTTCCCTGAAAGACATTAGTGAAATCTACTTTTACCTGGTCTAGTCTAAATGTGACTCTATGGTCTCAACAATGTGGTCTGCTCTTAGCTGCCCTCTGAAATGACCTAGTGAGCCATTTTGTTCCATCCATTTAGGGCTGGGTAATAAAATGCTGGCCACGTCCTGAAAGGATGTGGTGTTTTAAAAAAAGTTGACTGAGGAATGAGCAAGAGCTATGATTTAAAAACTAATTGATATGTGGAAATGGGGACCTTAGGAACACGTGCACAACTCATTCAAGCTTGAGGAAATGCCTTAAAAAGGCAAAATGAGATCCTGGGCTTTTATGGAAGGAACAGAACAGAAACGAGGAAGTCAATACTGCACAAAATAATTGCTTAAATTAGATGTGGGTGAATGGGAAGGATCCAAAGCTTGAGACAGCAACAAGATAGGTAAGAGGTGGCTGGGTACAAATAGTACCTGTGAAACCAAGTTTTAATCTTGTTGATTATACAATGAAGGCAGGTGTTAATATGAATAGGAAAGGTTTGGAGGGATATGGGCCAAACACAGGCAGGTGGGACTGGTTTAGTTTGGGAACAAGGTTGGCATGGACTATTTGGACCAAAGGGTCTGTTTCTGTGCTGTATGACTATGACTGTATAAATTTCTTGATCATAACATTGTTAGGTTATTAAGAAACACATTTCCAAATGACCTAATGTCTTTTAAACCCCCTCCATCCTGAGAAAGCCTCTTCTGTAAGAGGATAAATTCTTTGTTTAGTTTCTTGATTTGCTAAGGAGTTAATTGGATTAATTACTTTCACATTTAGGCAAATGTAGCAGCAAATTTGTGTACAGCAAGATCCCACAAACAGTCATCAGTTAATCTCTTGACAGATGTGTTAGCCAGCAGATTGAGAACACTGCTATTTGAATAATGCTGCAAAAATTCACTTGTGTTTTGAAATCAGACCTCTGTTTAATCAGTCATTTTTAACAATGCAGCACTTCTCTGGTATTAGTGACATCTGCTTAGATTGTGTTTGTTCCAGATTGAGCATTAAATTCCACATTCTAATTGAGGCAAGATTCCATCTGAACTCGGGTACTAATTTCAGTTCTGTTTTAGATACAGAAACAAATTGGAAATTTCCCAAATTTCCTGATTTTTTTTTTTGAGCTCCTTTTCCAGCAATTACTTTGATACTTAATTGGTCTAGATTCATTTACACTAAAAAAAAACTGGGTAACCGGGTAGTGATCAAACAAAAACCTCCATTTTATTGACGTAATAACTTACCAAAACACATGTTTTACACTGATGTGGTCTGTTGCTATAATATGAATAACTTCCCAACTGGGAAGGGGTCAGTCTAACATATGCATAATCAAGTGGCCAGAGACAGCAAGGACTGGATGCTGGAAGCTAGCCGCAATAAATGTGGAGCTGGAAAAACATAACCAGTCAGACAGCATCTGAGGAGCAGGAAAGTCAACGTTTCAGGCTGAAACCCTTTGTCAGGACCTAAAACGTTGACTTGTCTGCTCCTTGGATGCTGTCTGACCGGCTGTGCCTTTCCAGCTCTGTGCATAATTAAGGCCCCTTCAACAACATCTTTCAAACCAATTATTGTCTACCACTAAAAGAAGAACAGCAGGCACGTGGGAGCACCGTCTGTATGTTCTGCTCTAAGTGAATTAGCTTGCAATTGCCGTCACTTCTGGGCAAGTGAGTCATTGATCCTTGGACGCTATACAAATGACTCTTCTTTCCCTCCCACTTCCAGGTAGACAGCAGCGAGCAGTGCAGCCTTTCAGTGATGAGGATGCGTCCATTGAAACAATGAGCCACTGCAGCAGCTTCAGTGATTCAACCAGCTTGGCTGATGAAGGTGGAGTATCAGAATATCAATTGGTCCTTCTGTAATGTTAAGCTTCTGCTATAAAGATCCTTTTCCCACATCAGTCCTGTGCCTTGAGTAGATGAAATGCTGAATTCTTTGGAAACTATATTTAAGCGATTAATCTGTGAAACAGTCTGCCTGGTGAGACTAGGAGCTAGTTCGTGAACATTTATTTGAATGTAAATTGGATCAATCTCTTTTTTGAAAAGATCATTTTTAAAATGGTCACATGTATTTGAAGACTCGAAGCTGCACAAATTGAGAAGCTCGTGGTTCTCGGAGCTCTCCATGTCTGAAGTCTTCCTTGCATCAGATTCTTGTAGATTATTGTATCAATTGATTTGTTACAATTGTTGAGTTTGTGAAGTTGCTATCATTCAGACTTGGGAGATATAAGGCAGACTAAATGGGGCTTGTTTTGTTTGACAATTGCTGTGCATTATGGAATTGTGATTAGAATTGCTTATTCAAGTTTAAATTACAATCTGTCATCTTGACTGTAGGTTCTGAATTAGTTCACTGCAAATAGTAATTTCACATGAAGTTGAATTTTTTAGTTTGCCTTAGTTAAATTTGTAGTGTGAAAGTAGGCAGATTGGACTCCTCTTAGAATTGTAAAATCTGATTCCCTGGCTCTACCCTACTAACTTCCAATTATGGAGGTAGGGCAAGAGATGAGCTACCAAGCAATTCTTAGAGTTGGAAAGGTAAATATTTTAAGAATCTGGCAGCTGATTTGCAACTATCGTGGTGAGTGTGAGCTTCCCAGGACTGTTGAAATGAGGCGAGGAGAGCTTATGTCAACACAGTAATTATTTTGGATCAAAACTATTGCCTTCCAAGCTTCCTTTGTCTTGCCTTCAAGGGGTCAATGATCAAATCTCCCTGGTCCTGTGGACCTGGTCACAAGACCCTGACTATAGAGGTAATACTGCAAATGTAATGTACTTTAAACTCCAAGTGTAGGTTCTGCCTCCTAGTTATTATCACTGATGTCAACTCTTGCAGTTCCTAAATTAGATGGATGCAACTTCTTAATTCTTCATTAGATTTAGCTGCAGTTATGGAATGAAGAAGTCTGCATTCATTTGGGGCTTTAAATTCCTCAGTTAGTAAGTTCTTAAACTTGTCTGGTGGAGTCTTGTAGTTTGGGACCATAGCTTGGAAATTTTGTGTGAATTCTCTATCAAATTCTGAAAGCTACACTTTGATTGTCAGGTTTTGCCCCTTGAGAATTTGGTCATCGGTCATCTTTTGACTCTCTGCAGTGAAGGATAAGGGCAATAGCAGTGAAAGAATCTTCTCCTTCATATGCATTTAACTCCCAACATCAACATATTTTGAATACAATCTACCATGTGCATACATTATCTTACTGACTAAGATGACACTTCAGTCCTGCATAAAAGCAATTTGTTTTTTAGCTATTGAAGACGGTGACGAAGAAGCAAGCCAAGAGGATTATGAATATAAACTGAGAGGATTGATTGACAACACCCTTGATAAAAGGTGAACTGAAACAAACTTGAAAATAAAGTCTCCAATCTTTAGAAATGGTTGTATTGGGTAAAGGCTAACTGTTACATAACCAGTAACTGATTTGATGCAATTGTTGAAATGATTATTCCATATGCTGGCCTTCTAGTGCACTGGTAAAATTTGACTCACGTTATTTACAATAATATCAATTGGAACTGATTGGGGACCAGCTAAAGGTGAGCTTCTGCTTCATTCCTGCTGCACATTCCCTAAAGTTGAATGCTCACCAACTTAATCACTTTCTGATCGATCATAAGTATTATTGTTTCTGCACACAAAAACCCTAAAAGATTATAGGGATAGAATTGTCTTCTTCCTTTAGAGGTTAAAGATTTAAACGATCTTGTGGTGAAAGTAAAGTTTGAACATGTGAATTTCTTCTATCTGTATCAGACAATTTTTTCTACCTTAAACCACTTCTAGCATGCCTGACATGATGAAGACTAATTTGCTAAGACCGGACAGTATTCATTGCTGATAGGCAAGTTAAGTGCAATAGTTTGTATTTTGAATTTTTGAGGCTTTATGCCAGTGGGTAATCTATGATGCCTCTATTTTTCTCATATAGATCATCTGCCAACTATGCTAAAGTTGATTTTCTTTACTTTTTTTCCCTTATGGAAAAGTTGATGACTTTTGTCTCATGCAGTTGAACTTCTTCAACATCGGTTAATACTTTATTGATGAGCCAATAAGCACAGCTACAAATTCATAAGGCTTTTGTAGAAATGCAATATGTTTCACTAAACCAATCGTGATTATTTTAACAGTGCAAAGGTCAGATTGTGTGCTCTAGAAGGACTGAAGTCTGCATTCTCGTCTAAAATCCTTTATGACTTTATTCTGGAAAGAAGGGTGACCTTAACTGACATTATTGAACGTTGTCTGAAAAAAGGTAACGGATACAGGAATTATTATTTTTTAATCTAAAGAAAAGTTTAGAAATACAAATCTGCTTTCTTTTTTGTTTATGAAAGTTTTAAATATGAACAATTGATGCAGCTGTATTTGTGCTTTTTAAGTTTAGACCTTGGCATCAAACTTCAATCGTGTTCAGATTAGTTACATAAATGTTTTTCTTGAATAACGTTTGTGTATTTGTGATTTAAAATAATGCCCAAATTGCAGTTATCTTGGTAAACTATGCTATTGCATGTGAAACAATATTTTTTTCACGTAAAGGCAAAACAGAAGAACAGTGTATTGCTGCCCAAGTTGCTTCTCTTCTTTGCATTCAGCTGGGATCTAGCATTGAAAGTGAAGAGGTCTTCAAAAGTTTGAGGCCCATTTTCAAGATCATCCTTACTGATGAATCAGTCAGTGTACAAACACGAAGAGCTGTAAGTAGGTTGGACTTTTAAATGTTTGAAGTCACTGTCTTTCTGATACTAACTTGCAATTTTTTTTTGCTGTTTTTGCAGTGTGCTACCAGTTTGGCTGTTTGCTGCTATGTTGCAGCTGATGATATAGAGGTGAGCATGAGTATTTTTAAGTACATTTTTGCAAAATAAACAGTTTTGAATAATGAAACCAGATATTTACAGTACAAATTAATTGCCAACAGGATCTGCATTTAACGATGACCTATCTTGAGAGTGTCTTCACTACATCCTATCAGAAGGAGGTTCAGACAGATTGCTTTCGCAATGCCCAAACGACAAGTTTGGGCATCAGCACTTTGGTAGCATGGACATTGCTGCTAACCATTTGTCCACCTTCTCTCATGAAGAAGATATTTGAAATGTATGTTAATTCAGTGCAGTGATTTTAATAATTGTTTACTTTATCCATGTTAAGTTTTTTTTGGTATCATGTAAGTCAAACCTGTGTCATGAATTTGTATTCCAGTTGGCTGCTTTTAAAATTGGCTAGTCAAGATTATCAATTTAGTTTCTACATTTCATTTGCATACTGGTTATAACAACATTGTAATATGATCACGATTACACTCCTGATGTAGGACTGAATCTTCATGTACATTTAACCTTGCTGTTATCAGTCACCTGGTTTAGTAAATCTTGTACCCTGTTTGAATTTTATTAATATTAAATAACAATTGTAACATATATGTAAGCCTGTATAAAGATAAATTATTCTAGTTGAGAATAGAAGTTAAATGAATGCATTTTGAGAACAAACTAATTTCATAAGAAATTCTAAAACTTGACAACTATATTGTATTTTAGCCATTTGACCAAACTTCCCAGTCTTCTTTCTTGTGGTGATGTGAACATGAGGATTGCTGCTGGCGAGACAATGGCTGTGCTGTTTGAGTTGGCCAGGGATCTGTGTGATGTAAGGTTTTTTAAAGCTTATTTTTTCCTTGCCTTCTACTGCCTTCAAATTTTATACAATGATCCATTTAATAGAAGTGGATAATGGAAAGATAATTATGATGGAGGTTATGATCCACAACTCCAAAACCAAGTGACATTTGAATGAAGGAAATTTTAATTATTAACTTTTTAATCCTGTTATTCTAGGAAACTTCAGCTTGGTCCCACTTATCCCAGTTTTGCTAGTAAGGACCCTGTCCTTGAGAGATGAAGTGATGGGAATGCTTAAATGCTCGAACTATAACTGACCACAAGAACTATATTGGAAAGTTAAATTTATAACTTGTGCAAGCAAGATAGGTGTCAAAAGATGCTAGGTATCAAAGCAAGTAAACCAGTTTGCTCACCTCTTGCCGAACCTCAAGTTTCAAGCAGGCATCGGAAACTAGTTGCCTCCCTGTCTGATCTTTGTTGCAAGAAATTTATTGTAATAAAACCTATTAACAATTATGCATCCCTTTTTCTAATGGGACTTAATTGCTGTGTGCCAATTATGGGATGGTAGCTGAAGGAACCAACATTCTTTCTTTTTTCAAAATGGAATAATCTGGCGATTTTTGAGGGATATAGGGAAAAAAGTAGGGGACTGCAAATAGCTGAGTTACTCGTGGAGAGATATAACTAGCTAAACAGCTTCCCATACCATAACCATTCTGATGATGACTTGCATGAAAATTTAACTGAAATAATATTGTATATACAATTCAAGTGGGGAAAATCAACTTTTCAAATTCAGTTACTATGGCACAACCCTTTGTAAAGGCTTTACATCTTTCAACAGGATTTTGAATATGAAGATATGGATTACTTGTGTGGAAAGCTGAAGGGTCTGGCTACAGATGGCAACAAATATCGAGCTAAAACAGACAGGAAGAAACAGCGTTCTGTATTTAGAGATGTTTTGAAGACTGTAGAAGTATGTCTGTTTGCTTAATTTGGGGAATTCATTTTGGGTTTGGTTTTATATCCCTAATTCTTCTCTCTATATATTTGATTTTCTGTTCTGTAATTAACACAACACACTTCTGAAAATGAGCAACTGAGTAGGAGATTCAGATAAAAACCAAAAGAACTGCGGATGCCGTAAATCAGGGACAAATACAACGTTGCTGGAAAAGCTCAGTAGGTCTGCCAGCATCTGTAGGGAAAAAAGCAGTTGATGTTTTGGGTCCGGTAACCCTTCCTCAGAACTGGGAAGCAGTTCTGAGGAAGGGTCACTGGACCTGAAACGTTAACAAGAGATTCAGGTAAGTTTCTGAAATAAAAGCTAATGCAGTCATGTATAGGCAGTGGAAACTTGCAGGAGTCCAGAAGAAAATCCATTTTTTGGATTTCAGTTTTGCAAACATGTTCCTTTATCCAACCCATTTTTTAAAAAGCAGCCTCTATGCCCATCTGTTTTTTAGTGAGGTATTTGTTTTTACCATGGGTTTTTAACTAAAGTTTCTTAACTAAAGGTTATAGTGCAGTGAGCTGGGTTAGCTGCAACATTTAATGTTCTCTAAGTGTACAGATTGAACACTCTGTCTAAACTTGGCAAGTATTTCTACAAATGAATAGGACACATTGTCTGGAAACTATTTTCCATTAATAGCAAAAATGTATTCTTTTGACCTTTTTGGATTATTAAATGAACTTTTCTACTTTGCTAATTTTGATCTCTGCCTAGATTTGTACATTGTATGTAATGTCTTACTTTGTACTGTGTACTATACCAATAGTCCTTTCCCGGAGACCGAACTGTTTTTACTAGATCCTATATTTGAGATGAGAACCAGGGAGGTAGTTCAAAAATAAGGGATCTTCTATTCAAGACAACTGAGGCAAAACGCTCAAGGATCATGAGTCTTTTTAGAACCCTTGCTTTTTGCGCAGGGAGCAGTGGAGGCAAGGGCTATTTTGAGTGGAAGTAGACGAGCTCCAAGTCAGCATCTTAAGATTATTGGTGGTAAGTGGGAATAGGGAGTTTAGTCCTCAATCTAGTCAAGCATTATTTTGACTGACTGAGTTGAGTCAAATGGCCTGTATGCTGAGCTCCTGATTTGTTTACTGATTGATATCATGTGAAACTAGAAATTGTATATGACAAACTAGAGTAGAATTGCTGCTAGGATCCATCTTTGGGCCATTTCATGTCTGTGCCATCTGTATGGCATGCTGCACTTGACAGAATGCATGGAAAGAAGTTGGAAACTAGCATCATATCTAAATTGACTCCTTTTTTGAACTTTCACTTTGGAATTGCTATAAAAAATTTGCTGCCTAACTGTCTCAAACTAGATTACTTCATTGTGCATGTATTGCACCTGAATTTGCTCTCAATAAGACTGATATCACTATCTATGAAACAGCACAGCAATTAAGGTGGGGTTTGTATTTAAATGCTGATGTCCAAATGTGTCCACATTGTGGTGCTGTGCTACAGTTTTGTGAAAAAGACATCTCTGCCTTACTGACAGGCACTGAACAATATGAAGTTTCTATAGTAGTGCATTCAAAAACTAAGGTTACCACAAAGTAAAGTCTTACTAATTTTAGACCCGGTGCTACTTTCTAAAATAACCAGTCTTTATTATTGCCAGAATTTCAAGTTCAATGCCCAATATTATTAGAAACACTAAATCTGAATGAATGAGTCTTTAATTCTTGCAGGTTTCTTGCCCTTTTCTGTATTGGATTATCAACTCTAAATTTTCTTTCTTAAACACCTGGTAAGCAGTACCAGGGTACGTATCCTTCTTATTTTAAGAATGCATGTTTCCTTGACTTCAGTATTTCCACTTCTGAGGATAGGCTATCTACTATTGTCCATTACAAGCCTGCTGAATCACTTAATTTCTTAAAATGCAACTTTTCACCTTGCTTCCTGCAAGGATACCATTCCATTCCATTCCCCCAGTTTTCCTGTCTTTCCTGTTCTAATGATGCCACCTTCCACTGGACTGCCTCTGCCAATGACATCCTTCCTCCATTAAGGTCCCTCTCCTTGCACATGCACAACTAATATTTTGAGGTTGACAGGGCCATAAGGTGAGTTTGAGCCTTCTCCACACTTCTTCTGTCTTCACCCCTTCCCTTCCTACCCAGAAGAGTTCCATTTCAACCTCCCTTTCCACCACACTACTCTCCATGTTCAAAGGATCATTTTCTGCTGCCACCAAACACCTCTTTTCCCTCCCCTTTATTGTGTCAGCATTTTGTACAGATGCCCATGATACCCTGGTCCATTCCTAACACTCCCTCACTTCCCCATGTTACTATCCCATGCAATTGTAAAAGCTGCAGCACTTGCCCATTCACCACCTTACGGGCGAAACAGATTTTTATTTGTAATTTCAATCTAGTTCACTGCATTCACTACACAAATACTCTTTTACATTGGTGAGACTAATGGTGATCACTTTGCAGAACAACACCACTCTGCAGGGATGACCTTGACATCCCAGTGGCTTACTATTTCAATAAACCACCTTGCATCAGGCTAACACTCTCTTCTATCTTGGCCTTGTTGCAATCTTTCACTCAGGCTGCAGGAGTACCACCTTATTTTCAGTTTAAGCACTTTACAGCCTGTCTCCATATTGAATCCATTACTTCAGAAACTGACGACATTCTGTGTTCCATTTTTCTTACATTCTGTTTGCATATCTTCTCCCTTTTCATGCTTCAATTTGCACCCGTTTTATGTCTCCTCTTCTCGCCGCCATTAACACTTCCATTGTCTTTTGCACTGGGCCTCTACACCATCTGTCCCCTTGCTGCTTCTCAGCTTCTCAAACGTATAAAAAGACCCATTTTCCAGAAACCTTTCAATTCTGAAGAATAGCATTGGACTCAGTTAACTGTTTCTCTCTCTCCACACGTGCTGTCAGACCTGAGTTTTTCTAGCATTTTGTTTCAGACTTCCAGAATCCACAGTACTTTGTTTTATTTGATTTTTAAGAAGATGCTTGGGTGTTGACTGGAATCCTGATTTTTCTTGGTTCAGCGACTTGCGAGCATACGCAATTAAATGTAAATTTGCAAGAGCTTGTCTAACTAATGATACTAATGCTGTTGGATGGCGAATGCATTTGTCCAGTCTTTAAAGGTTTAATAGGTTCGTCCTTTTTCTAATAAGAATGCCCGACACCTCAATGTGCTCAGAGCATATCCGTGAGACACTCGTGTAGTACCCCTATCCGGTTTACTCGTTTGCTTGTGTGCTGCCATGGACAGAACGTTTCACCAAGTATGTGTAAAACCTTCTGCATCTGCAATGTGAACGTATGTTCAGGAGTGTTGAGACAGAAAGCCTTGTCATAATTTTCCTAAAAACAAGTAACTTGTCATTGCAGAGTTTTTTTAATGTTTTAAACGTGAATGCATATACCATTGAAAATTGATATTTTACAAATTAAGTCACTGCTTACCTTGTACACTTGATGGTTATTATGAGCAAATTGAAACTTGGTTAATGTCTGCTTCAGAGTCCAGACTGAATTACTTTGTTCCATATTGCAACAGATTCAGTAAACTGAAGTTTGTTTTTTGTACTCTTATCATCTACAGTTTGATACAGTAAATGAATGCGTATGTGCTGGCAAGCTGCTATTTGCTAAATGATGGAAAAGGTCATTTTGAACGTCACTGTTGGGAAAGCATTCAAGTAAATAAGTAGTAGTTCTTCATTCTTGAACCATTTGCACTGGTTTAGACACCTGCACTTCATGTTATCTGGATGTTTTATTTGTTTATTTTAGAACATAGCTTATCCTTTGTCCTGAAAACATTTCTAAACAAATCCCCTTCAGTTGTCCTGAGATAAGTACTGTTTAGCCAAGAAACTTCTCACTTCCACTATTGCTGCCTGTTCTGCAGTCAAGTAATAAGAAACAAAGGTTATTATAAAGTCCAGAACACTGGCTGTTTTTAAAATGTACCCTCCAAGCAGAAGACACAAACAGCCTATGTTGGAGGAGTTCCTGATTTTTCTGGGAATCAGTGTCTGGAAATGTAACCCTCATCTCAATCTTATAAAGCAGTAAACTAAGTATCTGACACTGGTTACTCTTTTTTGCCTTCCACAGGAGGGAGACTTTGACCCTGAAACCATTACATTTGGTCCTGAATGCATGTATATTGATAGCTGGGTTAAAAAGCGTACTTATGAAACATTCAAGGAATTGCTTGCATCTGGTATAAGATTCCATCTACAGGTTAGTTGATTTCCTAATTCATGATTGAATGACTAACCACTTTTTTGTTTTTAGTATCTTTCAAACTCTATGTAATTCCCAGGTGATAAATTACTGCCATTTGGACAAACATAGCCAATTTAAAGCGCAAATATCATTTCTAATAAAAAAGCTGCTCTAATATTGTAGAGGGCTAAATGTTTCAGATTGTTACAGGAATATGTTGCAAAGTTGGGTATAGTAGATTAGAAAGTAGGATGTTAGAATTTGTTTGTGAAATGACAGGAAGAGTATCCCTTTTAAAAGATGTGCTTTTTCTAGGCTTGGAGATTTTAAACAATCTGCAGATGCAGAGTTTCGCGAAGTTCAAACATTGTATCAAAAGGCTGTGTGGTTAGCAATCTTTGCAGCCATTTGTTTAGGCAACCAACGAGAATATCAGCCAATTAATTTAAACCAGCACTCGGACTAAAACTCAATTAAATTCAAATCTGGTGTAGAGCTGGATGAGCACAGCAGGCCAAGCAGCATCAGAGGAGCAGGAAACCTTTTTTCTGAAGGAGGGTCTAGGCCAGAGGAGCAGGAAACCTTTTTTCTGAAGGAGGGTCTAGGCCCGAAACGTCAGCTTTCCTGCTGCTTGGCCTGCTGTGTTCATCCAGCTCTATACCTTGTTATCTGACTAATGGTACTGTGGCACTCTTGACTAATACTTCTGCCGTATGAATTTGATGGAGAAACATGCTCCTGCTGAAAGAACAGTGGAGGAGGCACCGATCAACATTCAAGAAGATGTATCCTGGCTGTAATTTTGAGAAACTAATTAAGGTTTATAAAACTTTTTTATATAAGTGGGACTGCTATCTATTAGAACAGCATACCATTAGAATTTTGTTTTATTCTGGAAGAGCTAGTAATTAAAGGGGGGGAATTGTTTGGTTTGTTAGTAGTTCTGTTAGTTTGCTCACTGAGTTAGATAAATTGTTACTTGTTTTATAGAGGCTATCCACGTTCATTTCATTTAACCTCCCCTTTATAACAGTGTCTGTGGCTGAGAGGCAGGTTATAGTACTTTTCACACTTTCTTTAACAGGTTGAGGGCAAGGCAAGCTTCTGTTTTTTGGTTTAAATTAGAGGGAAGTTGAGCTCTGCTTCTGGCATTTCCGTCTGTCATGATCCAAAGTTTAAATAAAGAGAAGGGGCTTTGATTTTTTTGTTTCAATTCATGTAAAAATGCAGCACTTCAAGTAAATTTGTATCTTGTGTATTGTCACTTGGTGCTTCATTTATAAGGCAAAATTTGAGCCGCATAATGTGATAAATGGGGCAGCTGGCCAAAAGACTAGTTGGGTTTTCAGGACCATCTTCAAGAAGGATATAAAGTGTACAGCCCAGAAGTCTGATTGTATTTTAATGCTTTCTACTTGGTGACCCTCTGAAAAATTTGCTTTTTAATATTCTATCCTAAAAATAACTGAACTATTTGTTGTCTAGTTGATCAACTTGCTGTTTTTGACACTTTACTTTTGCTAATGATATGTACTTTAAAATTTCAAGCTGATTTTTGAACCTTTTTTGAAAGTATAAATGAAACCTGCTCTAAACAGTACCCAATTCAGCCCAAATGATCCCTGTTAGTATTTATTTTTCATACTACTGACCTCCCATTTCCTCACTTTCTGTTCCTTTCTCTATTTAGCTTCCTCTTAAATGCAAAGAGCAACAACTTTCTCTTCCACTTGCACATTGCGAAGTGGAGAATGTGCATCTTTGATTTTTTTTTTCCCATTTTTCCATCTGGCTTCACAAAGGTATTAATCCAAACAGATATAGTATTTAGGTTCCAGCTGGTGCTTCTCAACATTGGTGGGGATCCCTCTAGGAATTGACCAGCTCTGACTTGTTTGAATATGGGGACAGTATAAATGATCAGGCTAGATTGTAGCAACAGTCAGAAGCTAGGGGGAAGGAACATTGAATTAGTTGATATACAATGCAGTTGACCTACTGGGGGAGACAATCTGTGACTAGAATGGCTTTTTTGCTATTGATTGGTAGAGACAAAGTTGGTGAATGTAATGCTCCTTTTTTTGTCCTGATTGCTAATACTGATTTTCAGTTGTGAAGTTGCATATTTCTCCAGACCAATATGCTGAGGGACTGCTCTTTGCAGCTGTACAATTGGCAGTTGCTTAATGACTCATTTGGCTTTTGATTTTCTAAAGAGGCCCAAGAAAATCTGAGCTACAAAGTTGCATTTCAAAAGTGTTAAGGACATTGGTTTGGCTTTGTCCTGTAAAATGAAATTGTGCACTGTTCACTTAATATGCAAACCATTGTGCAGCTACATCTGAGGGAGTGAGATGATTACAAATTCCTTGTAAATCTTGTTGCCTGGTGACTTTTTTTCTTCAAGATGATGAAGTCATTTTTCAAGAGTTAAAAGCTCTTTTGTTCTAATATTTCTGTTTAAACAGGCTAATGAATTTGTCCGCAGTGTCTTTGAGCTAGGACCACCATTGCTGCTTGATGCTGCTACACTCAAAGCAACCAAAACATCTCGTGTTGAGCGGGTAAGGCAAAAAATTGCACTCCCCTCTAGTCCATAAACACTTCTGTATTAATGTAGTTGATGAAAATAGAATGCAGATGGTTTGCATTTTGAAAGAAGATTTGGCTGGATGAAATTTGCACGTTCAGTTTACTTTCTAATCCTTGATCACTTCTACTTCCAACTACTTTATCTGATTTACAAACTGATTCTTTTAGCTGGCAATGAAATGGTAGAACAGTACAGTGCAACACAGACATTTCAAAATAAAAACTACATTTTATTTTAAACTGTTATTTTTGTGCACTTGTTCTGTTTTTCAGCACTTTTACAATGCTGCTGTTTGTAAAGCTAGAACTAAGGCCAGGAACAAATTCCGTGACAAGAGAGCAGACATCGGAGAATATGTTTAAATTCCTGACAAAATTCCATGGGAGGTTTCCTCTGCCCTAAGTGTAACTATTACATTTGATCTTTGTTAGATGTAGCAAATGGAGGAAATCTCTGTATCCTTCCCTGATGCATGCACACACTAGAACTCTTCCTTCAAACCCATCATCAGTGTTTGCTTCACTTCACTTTCCAATCACTTCTGTATATCAAATAACCGCTGAAACCTAAGTATAGTGGATTTCTCTTTATTTTGTAACTGAACTTTGCACAGATAGGAATGATGCTATTTAATTTGTACAAGACTTTAATTGGTGTAAGTAAACTTTTGTAACTCCAACTTGATTTAGTTATAATCAAGTATTCATGTTTAATGTGACTGGATTTTAAAATTTATAATGTAAACATTGTATCCACTTTGTGCTGACTGTCTATTTAATAAATAAATGCATTCAAAAACTGGCAAGAACTTTTTTCTTGAAAGTAAATTGAAAAAGTTCAGAATACAAACTATTAACTACGACACTTCATAAATTTTTGAAGGCTGGCAATATTTCACAGGCCTGGCAGCATCTGGAGGAAGCAACAGAGCACCATGGAGGATCCCTGAATTGAAATGTGAATTGTTTGGTCATCGATCTGCAGGTTAACTGTTTGTCTCCATCAAAGCTGCTGGATGATCTGAGTATTTCGAGTCTGTTTTTGATTTCTTGCACCTGTAATATTTTTGTATTTGTACGCCATTCTTATTGGAAGGTAAGTGTTCAAATGTCCTGGATAATTAGGAAGAAAAATGCTCCCTCATTCTTTGACCATGGAGAAATGAAACTTTAGTGATCAGGAGACTTACCTTTTAACAAAGTTCAAAGATTCAAGACTATAAATATTCAATTGCAATCTCTTGTGCCCAGCTGCAATATAGTGTTATTTTGGGCAAGGATGGGATCTCTTCCTCCGCTAATCCTGTCTTGATTGCTGGAAACAAATTTCTACTTTCATTTAAAATATCTAGCTTGCTAGAAAATGAAGGAACAGATAACAAAAGTGTGCTTCAGTGAATAATTAATAATAAACGAAGAATGCAAAGAAAAAGTAGAAATATGATGTCAAACACAAATTGTGTAATTTTAAAAGGAGCGTCGAAGACTGACAAACTTAATGGTAAATGGCAATGTTTTCTAAAATTTTGCTGTATTTCAAATTATCCTGCATGCATTGGCAACAGAAGTACTCCAATGCTGAGGTTGTCCAGCATTTGTGACTTCAAAACAGGATTTAAAATCCAGTTACATACTAGTTCAAATGTTGCAAGCCAGGACTAGCTCTTTAGTTTGAGCATGCATGGACCTCCTATGGCTGATGGAGGTAAATCAGCATGCTGGTTTGCATACAGGGACCTGGTGGTTTTGGACAGGGTGGGGAGGAGAGTTGACTTCTTGCTTCAGAACTGCCAGAGGAGACCATAGCATCAGACCCTGCCAGGCTGGTCTGAGTTACCTCCTGGATCAGCATCATATTCAGTCTAGAGGAACATCCAGCAGTGCAAAAGATAGTTAATGATCTGTGCTGTGCGAGGGTAAGTGCAACCATCTTCTCTCTGCTACCTCCCACTTCTATTCTGATTCTACTACTGCACCCACCTCCCATTGAAGCTCTAGATCAACCCTTCATATGCAGCATCTTCCCTCCCTTATTTTCACTTCCCCGTTCCAGTCGACTGCATTTCCTACTCACTGATTTGGTACACAACCTTTGCCCACGTACCCGGAGTCTAGAAGCTGTGCTAACATATTCCTGACTTTTCTCATTCCAGGAGATAATAGCCCATACTAGGACAGCTGGCCAAGTTGATTTGAGTCGGCTGACATGGCATGTTCATCCCTACTAGGAGACCATCTTTAGTGGGAGAAGATGGAGACTGCTCATGTCATGCTGAGCCTCCATGTCCCAGCAACCAAACAAGATTCACTAATGTCATGCATTGTTCTGTCATTCCCCCCACTTAAGTTTTTAATGTGCTCCACCTTCTTCCTGTGGTGCAACTCACGGTCTTCCACAGGCACCAGCAGAACCCACATAACTTCTGCTCTGAAAAATCAGCCCCTCATCCCTCCTGCTGGTACTCTTTTTCTGTGAGGAAGAAACCACGCTTTTCTGGAGAAAGTATTGGCAGAGTTTTCCAGTGCATCCTGCACCAGCTAAGTTGCTAATACTTCAGTAGCACTTCAGCTAGACAAGAGTATAATCTAGTGAGCTGATGTCTCAGCTGACTGAGGAAGAAATACAGTCAGGCTCTGGAGAACAGACTCTACTTCTCCCCAGGCAGGAGAGACCTCCATGGTGTCAGCCATTAATAACATTACTCCTCTGTTGCTGCAAATGTATAGTTTGCTAAACACAGCAAAGAGGATTAAAGGTTAAGAGCCCTCCAATGCTATCACAACTGTGACTCAAATGTGTCTGGATATCTTGACAGCTTGGTGGCTGCTTATGGGGAACCAGATTCAACATGGCTTATTTGTTGTTGGAGATGGACGCAGATCTCCAGTTCTTTGCTGTACCTATTGATAGTCTGTCCCAATGGCAAGAACACAAGGGACCTTGACCTACAGTTGGAGATGCAGCTGGCACGAATTTGGTGGAGGTACTACATACAGGTTCTCCCAGGGATCTCCTCTTAAACTCCAGCTAACCCCGTCCACTGTTTGCAATCTCTCAACCTTTGAAAGCTCAAGCTGTGAAGGGTGCGCCTGTCTGGCCGGGAGCCAGTTTAACCACTACCCAAGTTGCAGACTGCAGGGAGAAGGAAAGGAAACCAGCTGACAGTACATAGGTGAAACCTCAATGTAAATGGAATCTCACTTAAATATTTTCATTTTATATCACCTTTCTGATCAGCTGTCTTTTTAGCTGCAGTTACAAGAATGATTGATTTTTCTTTCTAAGCATCACCCAATGTTAGAAACCAAACTGAAGGAAAATTTGCTCCTTCTGTAATTCCATTGTAGCGTAACATCTTGTGTTTGAATGCAGGAGCATCAGCTGTTGTGAAACCCCTAACATTTGTTGACAGTAAGTACTGTTGCAGATCAAAAACGTAAAGAATAGATAAACCAAAAAGATGCATTTGGGAAGATATGGGCTGCTTGTTCTCCCAGCACCAACGTATTTACAGTCAATGAATGATTACTTCCAGCAGACTTGAATGAAGTAATCGAATTGTTTGGCTTCTTGTGCCTGCCGTTTGTGCTGCGTCATGAAGTGATGTTCTTCCTGATCAATTTCTTAATATTCAGCAAAAGAATGCTGCTGCTTTCCTAGTAGCTTATCCTCCATCACGTTTCCCACCTTGCCTGCTCCTGTTGGCTAAAGTGCAGCATGCAAGGATTATGCAGTGCACTGTCAATAGACAAATGTAAAATACTTCCTGACCTGTCCAAGCATAGGAACATCACGAGGCCTCATCAATCCACCCATGATGCCCCCAGTGCAAACAATGCAGCGTTTTATCTATGTTCAGCCTCACTAAAAGTTCTTATAAAGTCATCACTTGGGTTTGGTGAGGGTAGATTGAGAACTCAAAAATGAACATTGAATGGTCACGTCCCCAATTTTTGCTTTTTCACAGTGGTGTTGTTTTTAAACGGTGAGAGGAACAGGCAGGAAGCAAGAGTTCCAGTTCTTGTCATACATTCAGATGCCTTTTCAATGTTGTAATGTTGTAATTCTTCTAGGAGATCATAAATACACTACCCTTTGCGTGAAAAAATTGCCCCTCAGATCCTTTTTCAATTCCCCTCTCTCACCTTCAACCTCTGCCCACTAGTTTTGGACCCCATCACCCTCGGGAAGAAGCTTTGGCAATTCACCCAATCCATGCCTGTCGTGACATTTATAAACCTCTACACGGTTGTCCCTCAGCCTCTGATGCTCTAGGGGGAGAAAAAGCCCCAGTCTAATCAGTCTCTCCCTATAACTCAAACTTTCCAGTCCTGGCAACATCCTTGTAAATATTTCCTGCACCCTTACAAATTTAACAATATTATTTCTATAGAAGAGCTCCAGAGATTACAGATGGAGTTTACCTAATGTCTCTTCATATGACAGTTCTGCCATCCTGGGAACAAGTCTAATGAATCTTTGTTGTACTCTTTTTGACAATAATGTCCATCTTGGGGACCCAAAACATTAACTTGATTTCTCTCCACAGATACAGCCAGACCTGCTGAGATTTTCCAGCAATTTCTGTTTTTGTTTTGCTGTTCCTGTATTCCATTAGCCTCTCAAATAGTTTGCTGTGTTTGTATGTTAGCCTTCAGTGACTTCGCACATCTACAGTTTTCAACCTGTCACTATAATCAGCACATCTGTGCTTTCTACCAAAATCAATAAACTCTCATTTTCCACGTATTCCATCTGACCCGTTTTGCCAATCACCAAGCTTGTCCAAGTGCTGATCATCATGCCCCAACTAAACTAACAAAACAAACCACCTGCCTATATTCCATCTATTTCCCTCCCTATTTGTGTAACCATCTAGGTACCTCTTAAATGTCGCCAACGTGCCTGCTTCCATCATCTCTTCTGGCAGTGCATTTCAGGTTCCTACCACTCTCTGCATGGAAAGCTTCCCTCACACATCTGCCTTAAACTTTTTGTCCTCTCACCTTGAACCTTTGCCCCCTTGTAACTGAAACTTCAACCCTGGGGAAAAAGCCTCTGACTATCCACCCTATCCATGCCTGTCATAATTTTGTGGACCTCTATCAGGTCTCCTCTCAGCCACCATCTTTCCTGTGAAAACAATCCTAGTCTTTTTAACCTTTCCTCATAGCCTATGCCCTCGAGACCAGGCAACATCCTGGTGAACCTTGTCTGCACTTTCTCCAAAGCTTCCATATCCTTTTACTAGTGTGGCTACCAAAACTGCACACAATACTCCCAATGTGGTCTAAGAAGGGTTTTATGCAGATGCAACATGGTTTGTCAACTGTTGTATTCCAAGCATGCCATATGCCTTCTTAATCATTTGGTCACCTATCTTGCCGCTTTTAGGAACTGTGGACCTGCACGCCCAGATCTGTCTGTATGTTAATGTTCCTAAGGGTTCTGCCATTTACAGTATGGTTCACACATTAAATTTGATCCTCCAAAATGCATCACCTCGCATTTGTTTGGATTAAACACCATCTGCCATTTGCGCCCAGCTTGCCAATCTATCTATTTAGATTGTGAAAGGTTACAACAATCAGCAACCCCACCAATCTTGATGTCATCTGCAAATTTACTAATCAGACCACCCACACTTTCCTACAAGTAACAGAGGACCTCAGACTGATCCCTGTGGAACACTACTAATTAGCAGTCTCCATTCTGAAAAACACCCTTCCACCACTACCCTCTGTCTTCTATGACCAAGCCAGTTTTGTATCCATTTAGCTAGCCCACCCTGAATCCCATATGATTTTAGTTTTTGTACCAATATGCTATGTGGGACTTTATAAACTACATCCACAGCCCTTCTCTCATCAATTATCTTTGCCACAACTTCAAAAAAATTAATCAGGTTGGTGAGACACGACCTTCCCTGTACAAAATCATGCTGCCTGACACTAACTAGTCCATTTTCTTTCAAATGTGCATATATCTTGTCCCTCAGTATCTTTTCCAACAGCTTCCCCACCACTGAGATATCAAGTGCACTGGCCTATAATTTCCTGGATTATCCCTGCTTCCTTTCCTAAACAAGGGAGCAACGTTGGCTAATCTCCAGCCCTTTGTATCATCTGCAAATTTAGAAATATTCTATTTAGTCCCCACCTCCAAACTGTTGATCTATATTGTGAACAGCTGGAGCCCAAATACTGATCCTCGCAGCACCCAATAGTCTATATGTGCCAAGTTGAGAAAGAGTCCTTCACTCCTGCTGTTTTCTGTATGTTAGTCAATCTTTAATCCATGTCAGTACATTACTTCTGATACCACATGCTTGAACTTGCAAACCAGTCTCTGGGATGGACTGCGTGGATTTTCTGAAGCTTGCTTGGACCTGTAATTAGGTGACAACTACAGCCATTTTAGTCCACACTTTAAGAAACTATTTTAGTCATTGAAAGATCTGTCATATTTTTAAAAAAATCAAATGATGACAGTAAAACTTCAATAGCCCATGCCATAATATAACAAAAACTCCATTGCATCTATCTTTACAGAAAATCTTGTATCACATCAAATGTGAATAATGAATAAATATGGAACCATATACAACAACCCTTCCGGTCTCCAGTTTCGTTACAATTTTGGATGTAGTTTTGTGAAACAGTAATGGATTTGAGAAGGTATTGCACATAATTAGGCTTTATACAAATTGAATATCTCAATCCATTTGGTCATTCATTACCCCAGTTGCAGATACTTGCATACAATCCTGTGCATTTTGACAAGTTTTGAAGTGTAGTTTGAAATTGAGGGGAAAATTTGGTGCTTTTATTACAGTGGCAAATGGAAGCTAAATTAACTTGAATTCTTTGATACTTAGCTTATGTCGACATGTTATATTTTGCAAGCAGTTTATATAGAAATTTAACGTCATTTTTTGATTTAAAATTCTACATTTACTGAAATTGCACCAGATTTATGAAGAAAGAAATTAGTTTTAAATTATTCTTTAATAGCTATTAATTTGAGCATCTTTATAATATTTGCATAAAAAATATGCCATTTGGCTTAAAGTCTCTCCTGCTATTTAATCCAATCATCACATAGCCTAAACACATTTGATTTCTCACATTCAGGTTTCTGTCTCCAATGACTATTGAAAGTTTTAGTTACAGTTTTGCTTAAATAGTTCATGGTAGAGAATTTTAATCACTATTGATGTTTTCTTGTCTCTCTGAAAATTAAATGTTCAAAATAAACTTTCAAGATCATACTATAGATACCTTACTACAAGCCTTCAAAGTAAACCTTCCAGTGTAATGGGAAACACTGTCCTCACCAATCACTCTCCATAAACATAACCTTAATCCTATTTAATCTGTACCTTTATCCTATATTGTCTGAACTGCTGAATGGTTCAAGCATTTTCCATTATTGTGATGTGAGTAATTAACAGCTGAACACAGAGACATATCACATTTCCAGTGTTTTAAATAAAAATAACCCCCTCTTGCCACCACTTTGTCTTTCCCATCCAGCAATATTCCTCTCCTCTACCTGGCTGAATTTGTTTTCTCACTGAGCAATTTCTCCTTTAATTCATCTCACTTCTGCCAAATCAAAGGAGTGGCTATGGGTACCTGCATAGGTCCCAGTTATGCCTGCCTCTTTATGGGGTGTATAGAACGATCCCTGTTCCAGTCTCACACCAGCCCACTCCCACAACTCTTTTCTCGGTACATGGACAACTGCTTTGGTGCTGCTCGTGCTCCTGCCAGGATCTTGAAAACTTCATTTATTTTGCCTCCAATTTTCAACCTTTATATCTTTCACTTTGTCCATGTCCCACACTTCCCTCCCTTTCCTTGACCTCTCTATCTCCATTTTGGGGAATAACCTGTCCACTGCCATCCACAACAAAGCCACTGACTCCCATAGCTACCTTCACTACAGTTCTTCACACCCAACATCCTGCAAGGACTCCATTCCCATTCTCCTAGTTCTGACCACAGTAGGTAGGAAACCACTGTCATGGAAGTAACAAGCCTTGTCAGCAGCACTGTTTTGAAAAGTGGCATCATCCAAACAGATGCAACGTAGTTGAAGGAATCTCGGTACGATCCTTAATTACAGAATAGAGAAATGAAGAAAAAAAAAGTACTATTACAGCTGTACAGAGTATAACCATAAGTCCAAAAATCGAGAAGCAATGTTAAAAAGGCAAACATCACAATCTCTCCGCAGCAGACCAATGCAGGGGGCTTCCACATGGTCTGCCACTGGCTGCCACCATGCTCCGCACTGGGCCGCTGGGCTCTGGTCACTGGCATCCTCGCTCTGGGTCACTGGCATACTGTCTCTGGGCCCCTGGTCGCCAGTCTCCTTGTTTCAGCTGCTGACATCTCTGCAGACTGCTGACCCCATTTCGGAGGCCTTGTAATGGCATCTTATCAAAGGTTTTTAAAGTTTCATGTTGTATCCTTTTTTTATTCATGTTTCTCAAGTCAGTCAAATGGGGCCTGCTTTATAGAAATTTACTCACTTATTTAACTGTTTTCTCAAAGCGTCTGTTAATTTTGTGCTATATAAATAGATTTGAGCTGTTGATAAATCAACATGGCATAATCTATATCACTTGAATACTTAACTGCAAATCCCACCTGAGCAAAAACCATAGTTTTGTAAAAGTTTGAGTGGAATGAAAGACTAGACTCAAACAGTTTTAAATGGCTTATATGCAATTCTTATTGTGTGCATCTGGTATTCATTCCTAAAGGCCATCTGCAACTTTCAACCACACATGCACTAGAAAATTTCTTTGTTCACAACATCTAAATATAGCTTTAGCAGGCCTTGCATCCCTCCAGTTTTTCAGTTGCAGTTGGAAATGTAGTTTTTTTTCATAGAATCCCTACAGTGTGGAAACAGGCCCTTCAGCTCAACAAGTCCACACCAACCCTCAGAGCATCCCACCCAGACTCATCCCCCTATAACCCACCTAATCTACACATCCTTGGACACTACGGGCAATTTAGCATGGCTAATCCATCTAGCCTGCGCATCTTTGGACTGTGGGAGGAAACTGGAACACCCAGGGGAAACCCACGGAGACTCAAGAAGAACGTGCAAACTCCACACAGACAGTTGCCCGAGGCTGGAATCAAACCCGGGTCCCTGGTGCTGTGAGGCAGTGGTGCTAACCACTGAGCCACCGTGCCACCCCAGTGGTGATAAGTTTTTAGCTGCTCTGTTAGAGCTTAAATCCTTTTCTTGATAACTGCTGGAAAATTTTCAATGCTAAGTTTAGATGTCAATGAGTGCTGTCTTGCAGTAGAAGAATACTGGAAACACTCAAGCAGCATCTGTGGGGATAGAAACTGGTCAAATATAAAACAGACTGGAAATAGTGGAAGTGGAGTTATTTTGACACAATCACTTGAATGTAATATGCTTAGAATTACATGAGAGCAATAGACCATCTGCATCACTACTATAAGATGCAACCAAACTGCATTCCTTTGAATATTTTAAGTGGAATCTCTTCAATGTTGCAAAGCATAATCAATAGTAGGACTAAAACCTGATGCAAAGTGATTTGGACCCTGCCATCAGCTGCTTTTCTCTCAAGTCTTAAATGTGTATTGCCTGTCAACTGCAGTTTATCCCATAAGTTTGAGTGATACTTCAGTCATATTCTGACCCAATCACAGTACTTAAATAAAACTTTTTGTACATAGCTGTGATGATCATAAACAATTCACTCTCAACGTTCTAAGCATATCAACAGCCTTCAACTGGTTGACAGCACCATCCTCCTCCAACACCTCTCCTCCATTGACCAGAGGTGTATGATGGCTTATTTGCTTCCATCCTTTGCTGTTCAGTCATATGCAGAGAATTACCTGTAATGGCCTCTCTCCATACCTGCACAGTTACATCTGGAAAGCTCTTGAGGGTCTCTTTTTAGCCTCTTTCTTGTCTACATGCTAGCCCTCAAGGTGGTCACCCACAAACACATCAGGAATGAAATATATTCTGCTGACACTTGGTTCCTTCACCACCTCTTGACCACTTCTTGATTTGCAAAACTGCTTGTCTATCATGTAGTATTGCACAAGCAGAAATTTTCTCCGAGTATCAATACCCTTTACAAACTCTATTCCCCGTCCCTCATCCTCTCCCTCCTCCTGGCAACTGTCTGAAGCGGAGCCAGATCGATTTGCAAATTTGTTTGAGATGAGCTGTTGACCACATAACTGAGGCATTGCATCTGTACTGTTGCTCATCTCTGATCCTGCCTCATCTGCTATTGAAACCTGCAGGTTTGATATCTCTAGGCTTTACTATTCCATTACTGTCCATTCAAGTTGTCAAATTTAGTGTAAATTCCTAACTCTGAACCATGTTACAACCAGATGAGGGGAAATCAGCTCCATTCTTTCTAACCTGAGTAGCTGGTGTCATTTGCCTTGTCGTTGTTTTCCCTTTAAAAATGAACTGCTGCGACTTTCATCCCACTGTGTAACTTCCAGAAAGGTTTGATTCAAACCAGATGAAAAAAAGCTGGATTCCAGTGTCTTGTTCCAGTGGTAATTTCAACTCAGACTGATGCTTCTTTACTAATGATTTCATGAGCTTGGCTCAACCTGGCCAACAGATCATTGCAGCTATTTAGGTCCATGTTTATCTTGTTTAAAAATCACTTTAGTCCATGAAGATATAGGACATTACAATCAGAGCATGTTAGTTGAGTATGGATCAACAATGCTTGCTGTTGTCATAATACCCATGAAACATTTGATGTTATATCCAATTTTATATTTGTTTTTCTTTCTACCTACAAGGATCCATCTATTTAACCAGGGATCTGGCACTGATGAACTTTTTGTTGTGGACCTGTTCAACAAATGTCTGTCAGAACACCATCTGAAATGCTGGAGATTGTTTCCCAGGCCAAAGTTATCTCCTGAGGATTTGAGTACTTTCAAGAAAACCTTTTCAATAGTGGCCAAGAATCCCCCATCCTAATGGAAAAATTACCCATATGGTGTTATGCTTAGTTTTGGGAACCAGACCACCCCAAATTTCAAATTTAGGTGACTAAGTAAATTGTTCAGGAAATCTGTCATTGGGTGGACACGATGACTGCTCAACACACCATCTGCCCAGCGCAAAATTGAAAGTTATGTAATTGCTGTTGAAGCCTAAGTCCTTGGAGGTCAGGTAAAGATGTGGCATTCGTCTAACAGAGCAGGATCATCAAGTAATTACCCAGCAGGCTGGGCAGAGTGAGTTGAGGAGACCATTGTTGGTTGCAACAAGACCAAGACTTGGATTTATTGTAGAAAAGGGTTCAATTATTTCACAAGAGCAGCTATGGTGATTACAGCTCCTGACCTCTCCTGTCTTTTAACACATCCCTGTCCCTTCCCACCAATTATAATAATTTGCTCTCCTCCTTTCAACCCAAAAAGAAAACACTGCAACACCATTTTCCTGTTCTAAGTATACTCACTTTCTTCACTAATACTAAAAACAATCTCACCCCGCACCCTGATGTTTGTACCACATTCACCTGCTGACAGTGCTGCTCCCTAGTTTCACATTCCAGACAGGTGTCCTTACTTAACCATCTTTTAAAGGTTCTAAGTATAAAGGTGATGACAAATGGAGCAAGAAGGGACTGCAAGCCTCAGACTGTGAAAATTGGAACTGAAGTGTCTTTGGCTGGCTTGATTTAGATACAAATTTCTGTTACTTACATTTATATTTCTCACAAACTACTTGCGATTGCTCATATGTTGTTTGCAGGATACCCAAGTTCAGGGTACAGCATGTTGTATGTTTTAGAACCTGTTCACTTTGACTGCTCATTGACCTACACAAGGAACCTTTTAGTCACCCGGATATCTTGATGATATTGCACATTTTTTCTCAAATCAAATTGAGTTATTCTAAAGAGCTTGCTGACTTTTTTTTTTTGCAAATCCATTGTAGCACAGTTTTGACTATTTTTGTAAAATAAAAATGATTAATTTCAGTTTGCTGATTGCTAGGACTAGTTTGTTTGACTCTGCTTAAACACATTTTCAATCATTAGCCTGCCGTGCAACTATATCCGACCCAGGGGAGATCTCTGTTATTTCAGGTTAAAGATCCACTGTGCATTCCTTCACAAGCAAGAAACCAAATTAAAAGACCAACGTTTCCTTCTTGTAAGAATGCAATTCATAGTTTCCCTGCAGCTGTGACCATACATATAAGCAGAGATTCTACTGTCACATCTTGAAATTTCATTTTTATGTAGAATCCAAAGTTCAACTTAAAAACTTTTTAATGAGAAATTATACAGAGCTGTATGTTGCAAAAATGACTCTCCGTGGATATTCCCATGTTGGTTCAATATTTTAAAATTTAGAAACCCGAGTACTTGATGTGGGAACATCTATATTTAGATTGTTGAGTGTGGTTTGCTGGAATTGCACAGCTGATCTGCAGCAGTTCTGTTTCAGTAAAGAGAATTTCAAACAGTATGCTGTTTATGTTAAAATATTACATCAATTTTGTAGTTTTCCTGGCGAACTCTAATTGCCCATTGATTTGATTTATGCTTCACAGAATTCCACTAGATTCCTAAGGAAGCCTGGTAAGTAGAATTTATTTTTGGAGAGAGTGGTGCAAGTAGTGACTGCTATAATTAAGTCGCTGAGTTTTTAACGTTATATCAAATGGAGACTAGACAGCAACCTGAGACTTCTATTCATTAATTTTCAATTTAATAACAAATATCTCTAAAAGTGAATTAGTGAAATAAAAGTTTGAAATGTGCAGAAGTCCTGACACGCACAGATTTGGACAGTGATTCTGTAAACTTTTGTTAAATGTGAACAGTATAATGTATTTGTTTTAATATAAGATGTTGTTATCGATTTACCCAATCATGAGTCTCCAAAAGACTCCATACATGTATATTTACTGTTTTCCTTGAAAACTCCAACCAGATAACATTGCAGCTTTACGTAATTATAAAGTTAGACTTACATTATTGATTAATTAAAACTTTCACTGGTGTGAGATTTGCACTCTCAAATTATCTAGATCCACAATGGAACAGCAATAATCAAATGGGAAAAGGAGCTGTCAGCTAAGCTCAAATTATAGCAGAATACAAACAGTGGAGCTTCTAATGCTTAATTGGAAATGCTGGAATGAAGATAATTTCCTCAAGACATGTAAAATGGGGATAGTAAAACAAACAATTTTATATAATTGTTTGATCCGATCTGGCAATGATAGCAGGCTGGCAGTTAGTGTGGATGGGGAGGGGGCAAGTAAGTGCCATTGTGCTTTGCCCATGCTTATTGACCTGGCTCTCTGCCCACCACAATTTTACCAGCAGCTGGGAGTTGTCAGGCGGCCTGCCAACCTATGAGCCATTTGAGGTCCCTTAAATATTACTTACAGGGTGCACCACACTGGTAGGCTTTTAGCTGTGCAGGTTGGTGATTAATAGTTGGCAGGGGATGAGGGGAGCCAATGGGCCTATCAGACAGCCCAAACTAAAGGCTTGCCCTCATGTTTGGAGTCTTTCCGCCAACCTGTTTGTCCCAGGCCCCTCACTGTATTTGCTGGAGCCTACCAACCTTGCCCAGGCAAAAAGCTCCAGACTTACCTTCAGCATTGGCTTCAGCACAACAATGCCTTTGTGCAATATATTTTCAAGCCAGAGTGGTGAATGACTTGGAGGGGATCTTGCAGGTTCCCATGTATCTGCTGCCATTGCCCTTCAGATGGAAGTGGTCATGGGTTTGGAGGGTGTTGTCTGAGGATTTTTGATGGATTTCTGCAGTGCATCTTGTAAATAGTACACACTGCTGCTACTGAGTGTCGGTGGTGGAGGGAGTGGATGCTTGTGGATGTGGTGCCAAACAAACCGGCTGCTTTGTCCTGGATGGTGTCAAGCTGCTTGAGTTTTGTTGCAGCTGTGCCCATCCACGCAAGTGGGGATAATTCCATCACACTCCTGACTTGTTGATGGTGAACAAGCTTTGGGAAGTCAGGAGATGTGTTACTCATCGCAGTATTCCTAGCCTCTGACCTGCTCTTGTGGCCCTGTGTTTATGTGGTGAATCTAGTTGGAGTCTGGTCAATAGTAACTCCCAGGATGTTGACAGTGGGGGAATTTAGTGATGGTAACACCTTTGAATGTCAAGGGATTGTGGTTTGATTGTCTCTTTTGGAAATGGTTATTGCCTGGCAGTTGTGCGGCGCGAATGTCACTTGTCACTTGTCAGCCCAATCCTGGATGTTGTCCAGATCTTGTTGCATTTGAACATGGACTGCTTCTGTATCTGAGGAGTTGCAAATGGTGCTGAACATGACAATCATCAGTGAATATCCCCGCTCTGACATTGTGGTGGAGGGAAGGTCATTGATGAAGCAGCTGAGATGGTTGGGCCAAGGACACTACACTGGAGGAACTCCTGCAGAGATGTCTGGGAGCTGAGATGACTGGCCTCCAACAATAACAACTGTTTTCCTATGTGCCAGATATGACTCCAATCAGTTTGCCCCCTGATTTCTATTGATTCCAGTTTTGGTAGGACTCCTTCATGCAACGCTCAGTCAAATGTGGCCTTGATGTCAAGGGCTGTCACTCTCTCACCTCACCACTGGAATTCAGCTCTTTTGTCTATGTTTGAACCAAGGCTGTAATGAGGTCAGGAGCTGAGTGGCCCTGGCGGAACCCAAACTGGGCATCACTGAGCAGGTGCTGCTTGATAGCACAGCTGATGGCACCTTCCATTGACCCCTTCCATCATTTTCCTGATGACTGATAGTTGATTTAATGGGGCGGTAATTGGTCAGGTTTAATTAGTCCTGCTTGATGGTCAGTTAGCCATTAAATGGCTGGTGTTGAGTTTATTAGCCAAAAGTCCACAATGTAATGTCTAGCCAGGAGTTCAGGTGAAGCAGCGTGAAAAGGGCTGGAATATTAAAACCACAGGATTTGGGATAGGCAAAATATATGATTCTCTCATCCATTTCTGAATTTTTTTTTCTAGTAGCTAGCTTAGTAGCAATGAGATTGGTCCCTTGCAGACATCTGCTTTTTTTAAAAAAACCTTGATTTATTTTTCAATTTTATAATAACCTTTTTGTTAAAATTATTAGCTTTCACAAAGAAGAGCTGTCATGTTTTCATGAAATTATCACCCCTTTAGGGAAGGGACTAAATTCAGTAACCACTTCAGAAAGCCAAGAGCTTTACACTTCAATATTATTTTTGTGCCACTGTCAAAGTAGTGAGCTTTGATATTTTCAGGGATCTTGTAAGGGAATAAGGGAATGGTAACAGGTTGGTAATTACTGGCCAGACATCTGCACTCACGTTCCAGAGACATTAATTCAAATCCTATACTTAGCAGCTGGGGAATTCAAAAAATTGATTAGTTAATAAATCTGTAATACAAAAATTACTTGTCACTTTTAAAATTCATTTGGTTCACTAATACCCTTTAGGGAAGGAGATCTGCCATTCTGATCTGGCCTGGATTAGCTTGGCTTACTTATGATTCCAGACCCTGAGACTTAGCTTCCAAGTGTAATATTTGATACAAGAAGATAGTTGTATCAAACCTACAGCACATTGAACTGCACTAGTTCATTGCTGCATTCTTGAGGGTTTTTTTGGGATGGGCAGTAAATGCCAGAGGTGTTCTCCTTCTCAAGAATGATTTAGAAAAAAAACTGACAGTGAAATATACTGATTTGAGCATTGCAACAAGGAATTTAGCATTAATTGATGCCAACACATGTCATAATATATAAATGAATTGTAAACGAAGCAAGGGAAACTCTGCAGGTAGCATCAAGAAGGTGTTATAGAAATATGAATGTTAAGAAATGGTAATCGCATTAAATGGATCCTTTAAAAAAATCTTGATCAAGTAACTTTAGCTTAAATCTATTGTCAGATGTTGGCTAAGCCTATGTTCTGAAGAATCTCAAAGAATGGGATACCAGAACTAATCACCTGTTCCCTAGGATGTCTTAGAAAATTGATCCATGGTTTTAAGAATGAATGACCCTTGATTTCCTGACAAACTGTATGCAGCCAAGAGCAAACTTCACAAAGACTGTTAAGTAGGAAATTGCAAGCCTGCTCAGTCCAACTTTCTACTAATTTCATTTAAACATTCAGAAATCAAAGCTGCAAACCTGCAGTTCCTAGACGTTTGGTCATATATACCTGAATGTAAAATCAGCCCTAATTTAAATGTCAGAGCTGCAGGTAAGATAGAAACCCAAAGTTTTTAATAGGCGATATGGAGTTCACATTAGCATGGAATAGAGGAGAAGTTATAAAATTAAGGTATCTGCGATCACAGAACTATTAAAAAAAAAAATTTCATCACACAACAATATAATGGTTTGAAGGTTTTGTCTTTCCACATATTTTCTTAATCTTCTAGTATAGCTATAGTGAACATGCGCTAAAACTTTCATTTATGTGCAAATCTATAGAATGCTAGTACTAGCTTTTCCTGGCTTTAATATCTTTTGAGAGATCCTGAATGGAGCTCGCCTTTGAGAATTGTGCAGCCTTACAAATTAGTGGATCAGGGTTGAAAAATATGAATGCAAATGAGGGGTTTAATGCAAAGACTTGACTATATTTGAATAGGCCTGGGCTACATTTAATGAAAATATTGTCTACCTTGATTTCCTTTCTCTTTTATTTATTTTTGATGGAATATTGAATGTATCATTTTATTGGGAATTAAACTTTTTAAATCTCCATTTGGTGCTTCTACATTACAATTCAAGATTATTAATCTGTTTATATAGATATTATCCATAGCTTTAATCTTTTAGAGATCTGGATACCAAAATAGTCTGAAAATAACCTGCTTGTGAATTTGTATCCTTTGTATCATGGGTAAGCTATTGCAGATTTATAATTTAGTGTGCTACATAATGTTCTTTTTTGTTAGATGAAAATGCAGAACAGTATCAAGGATTTAACACTTTTTGACTTGGATGGTGAAAGCAAACTCTATGTGGTTGATTCGATAAATAATTTGCACCGGGCAAATACCTGTGAAGATCCCTGTGACCCAACTTCAAGTACGTATTACTGCAAAATCACATTTTAATAATATTTTCCATTGATTGAGGAACACTCACACTTCTGAGTCAGATTGTTGTCACTTCCAATTGCAATCCAGAACTTGAGTTTAAAATTCAGTCTGACACTCCAGTGCAGTACTGAAGGAGTGCTGAGATATTGGAAGTGCTGCCTATCAGAAAATGGTAAGCAAAGGCCCAGTTACCCTTTTAAGTGGATGTAGGATTTCATGTGGCATTTTCCTAAGAAAAGCAGGAAAGTTCTCCCCAGTTTCCTTTCAATCAAAATCATTTAACAGATTATCTAGTTGTGTATCAAACCGCTTTTTATTGAACCTTGGAGTGCATTAACTAAATTGGCAGTCAAATACTTTTGGATTTTATATTCACAAAAGGTGCTATCTAAAAGCAAGTCTTTTTTGATCATGTTTGGAATTCTTACAATATTATGTAATCTATTTTCAGGCCTTCACCTCGAATCTGTAGAGCAAATTATACCTAATTATAATGTTAATTAATTGACATTAAAAATGCTTTGATTGATCCCTATTCAATTCGTTGAACTCAATCAAGGCAGTTGTAAGGTTACAAAAACTGGTCTCAGCATCTCTTGACTAGAAAGCAAATGAAATAGGACACAATTCCCAGCTCACCTAGGAAGTGTGCATATGAAGATATGAAGTGAAGCTAAGATCACAGTGATTTCGAATTGTAGAATCACTACAGTGTGAAAAAAGCCATTCAGCCTATCAAGTCTTCATTGCTCTCTCCCATGCAGACCTGACCCAAACCCTATCTCCGTAACCCTCCGTTTACCATGGCTAATATAGCTAATGTACATATCCCTGGACTCTACATGGCAATTTAACATGGCCAATCCATCTAACCTGCATATCTTTGAACTGTGGGGAGGAAGCAAAAGCACCTGGAGGAAATCCACAAGGACACGGGGGAATGTGCAAACTTCACACAGACAATTGCCCAAGAATGGATTTAAACCTGGGTCCCTGGTGCTGTGAGGCAGCACTGCAAACCACAGAGCCACCATGCTGTCCAATATAGTTAACATTAAATTCTTTTCTTTATTTATGCATGGGGTGTGGACATCACCAGCAAGGCCAGCATCTAATCCCTATCCCTAAATGCCCTTAAACAGACTGGCTTGCTAGGTCATTTCAGGGGGCCATTAAGATTCAACTATATTGCTGTGGGTCTGGAGGCACATGTGGGTCAGACCAGGTGAGGATGGCAGATTTTCCTTCTCTAAAGGACATGAGGAAACCAGATGGATTTTTACAATATTGAAATTGATTTCCTGTTTACCATTAGATTAAATTTACTTACCATTGACTTAACCATCTGCTGTTCTGGGATTCAAACCCATGTCCCCAGAACATTAGCCGGGGGTCTCTGGATTACTAGTCCTTATGTCACTGCCTCCCCCTGTTGTTTGGGTTTATGTAAATGGTGGCTATGTAGGCATGGAACTGAGGACTGCCGATACTTATGCAATCATGTAACAATAAGATTTGCTAAGTTTAGGAAAGAGGCAGAAAAAGGTATAAATATAAGCATGATCCTGCAAGTTAAATAGCCATCTCATGTTAATCTTGATTGAATTAATGAAATAGTGGCATTGTCCTGTAAATGAAAAAGCAACCATTTTGTTTAGTATGTGGTTTACTCTGTACATATATTTAAAGAAAAGAATTATCTTTCTGTCCTAGAACCTGATGTTATCCTTCACAGAACTACTATCGTTTCCCACACAAACACAGGAAATATTTATAAACAGATGCTGCTACCACTTCCCCTAATCTACTTACTACTCAATATCCTCGGTGGCACTGCAACTATTACCCTAAAGAATCTGTAACTTGCTTACAAGTGCTTTGATTTTCTCTCTGAAGATACTTTCAATGATGCCATTATGTTCCAGGGGCTTTCATTTCACGGTGATGGGCTTATCACTTAGTATCATTATCTGACAAATAAATAAAGCCCATTTTTAAAAATCTCAGCTAGTGCAACTCTACAATTTCTAACATCTTTCTTTGGCGCCGCCAACTATCATATAACATGTCACCTTTTACAATTGTCCTTGTATCATGTATATTAAAAAACACTGCCACATAGGAACTAAGAATGTATAAGACGTTAATTTACCCAACATTTGTGATGCACAAAGCACATCAAGGGAGAACAAAATTGAACTCATTAGCATATTCCTTCCACTGAGTCTTCATGCAATGGTTTGCTGGAAAATATTGAAGTGGTCCAGTAGAGTTGTAATTTAAACATGCAGATATGTGTCAAGTTATTGCTTTTTAAATCTTTCCTAGATTCAGTAGAATGTGAACGTGTTGCTGACGAAACTGAAGCACCCACAAAAGAATTGTTGAAAGGTAACGAGAAGAAGGAGCCAGAAGTTGGTATGAGGCTCAGAAATTCCAAATGGGCAGAGACAAATTTAAAAATGCTGCTATTTCTGTATATTGGTTATAGATGTGTTGTTGATCCAGAAGGGGTGAAATAATTTCCTAAACATTTAATTAAATACATTACTCTAACATAAAAGTGAATATATGCTATCAGAATAGCCCTCAGTGGTGTATCACTAACAGTATAATTCCTCAAACAAAATGATCTTAATGGTATCATGCAAGAAGCTAAAGCCATTCGGTATAGTCATGAAATAGAGTAAGAATGTTCACTTTATTGTACATCTGCCATTTAAAATAATACACTTGTGGGTTGTACTGTAGATTACTGGTAATATATGGTGTGTGTACTGTTTATTAGCTATGAGGACCGAGAATATTTTTTGAACGCTTTATATGTAGCACTTATCCTCTCTATTTACTTATACTTATTGCTGGACAATGTTGAAAGAACACAAGATCAAATAATGCATTTTCCATTATGTACTCAGCCCTGAAGCAGTCCTCAAACAAGTATTTGACAAACTGGGAGTAATGCAGACCTGTTTTTGAAATTCCCAACAGCATACCTAATCCTTCAATTTAAGAGCTTCATTGTCTAGCTGTAATAGTGAAACATTTATCAAACCACCACACCTTTTAAATATTTATTGTAAAGCTTATAGTCATTTTAAATGTGGCTGAAAATAATAGACTAACAAATAACCAAAGTTTATTTGTACATAAAAATATTAAAAAAATCAATTCCAAGTAAAGCTAACAATACATTTAAAGTACAAATGAAAAATAAACTAATAATAAATATGGTAAAGTACCATAATAGTCTATCATATTGTGCATGGTGTATTAACTCAGGTATCAGTTCTCTGATGGTAAATGTAATGTATTGGACTGATTTTACAGAAGGGGAAACTGAACAACTTAAGCACATATTGGATATGCATTGCCATGACTTTCAGACCATTGAAAGGTTGCAAAATGCCAGACATGCAGATTGATGTTGGCTTCTTGCAGGTAAGAGCCCCTGTTAGCAGCCCAAAATCACTGGGTCAAAATCCTGGCATACCCTTCCAAACAGCATTGTGGGTGTTTCTATACCCAAGGACTGCAGCAGTTTAAGAAGGCAGCTCACTGTCACCTTCTCCAGGGCAGTTAGTAATGGACAGTAAATGTTGTCTTAGTCAGTAACACCGACACCCTATGAACGAATAATAATAAGAAAAATCCCAATGTTTTAATCCCTTTTATTTGCTTGCAATTCTTCCCTCACAAAATATTTCATTCTTCTGCTTTCCTTCATCATTTGAAACAAAAATCCCCTCAGAGGTAATCCTTCTTCACCTGGGATATGCCAGTGCCATCCCCCGGTGTCCCCCTTTTCTGCACTGGCTTCTTTCAAGGTTGAGAAGAGCAGAATTCAGGATCTTAAAATATTGAAATGGGTTATTTTATAACATAATTATAATTTCAATTTTAATTAATTTCAATTATAACATTGAAAAGCAATAATGGCTGAACCCAAGGTAGAAAAATACCTTTCTCTCTCAAACTGCTATTATCTGTGTTAAATCTGATTATCTGTTTGAAAAAGAACTGGACAAATATTAGGTTAAGAAATGCATTGGAAGTTTAAAGGATACGTGTGTACACAGACGATTAAATATTCAAAAAAATGTAAAGCTTTCAGTTTTACAGAAAACATGGGAATATCAACTGTTTTGAAGCAACCAGGCACAAGTTGAATGATTCAGGTTGCATTTAGAATCTTAAAATTCGTAGAAATTTTAAGAACAAAAAACATCTGTTCAGGTTATCATATTTGTGCTGGTTGATAAGTAGCTATCCAGCTGAATCCCATCTTTCTGTACTTGGCTCATAGCTCTGCGTGTTATGGCTCTTTAAGTAGATGGTCTGACTACTTTTTAAATGTGGTCAGAGTCTCTGGCTCTATGACTCTTTCAGACACTGAATTTGAGATCCAACCATCTTCTGGGTGAAAACATTTTCTTAATTTTCCCTCGTATCCTTCTACCACTTGCGTTAAATCTGTGCTCCCTGCTTTTTAACCCTTCAGCTTAAGGTAAATGGATCATCTCTATTTGCCCTATCTGGGCTCCTCATAAGTTTATACACTCCAAGTACTCAACCATTATCTCCCCATTCCAGGGAAAATAACCCCAGCCTACTCAAAATTTCCACATAGCTGAAATGTTCCAATTTTGGGAACATTGTCAAAAACCTCCTCTGTACCTTCTCCCATTCAATCACATGTTTCTTGGATTGTGTGGGCAGAACTATATACTTTACTAATGTTGTGGTTTGGGAAGTGTTGTTTACAATTCTAGCCTAACCACACTACTCTATTTTATCAGATGAGGTAGAGAAAATAAGACATGCCAAGTGTCATCTTAAGCACCTTATCTTGCAAGGATTTGTGGGCATCCACTCCAATGCCTTTTGTTCCTCCACACTACTCAATACATTTATTAAGGATCGCATTGCCTTGCTTCACTGCACAAAATGTATTAGCTCACATTTCTCCAGTTTGAATTCCATTTTACCACTTTCTGCCTGCCCAAACCTTTCACATCTTCCTGTAATCTAAAGATTTCCTCCCCATAACTAACCAAATGGCCAAATTTAGTATAATCTACACAACTTCTTTCTTATGATTTTTGGATTTGATTCTGAATTATTAACATAGAATGTACACACTGAAAGCAAAGGACTAAGTGCTGAGGAACAAAAACAAAGTTACTGGAAAAGCTCA